TATGTACTCAGTACTTGGTTTGGGCCCCTTTTGCAGCAATTACTGCCTCAATGCGGCGTGCATTGAAGCTATCAGCCTGTGGCACTGCTGAGGTGTTATGGAAGACCAGGATGCTTCAATAGCGGCCTTCAGCTCTTCTGCATTGTTCGGTCTCATCTCTCTCATCTTTCTCTTGGCAATGCCCCATAGATTCTCTGTGGGGTTCAGGTCAGGGGAGTTTGCTGGCCAATCAAGCACAGTAATCCCACGGTCATTGAACCAGGTTTTGGTGCTTTTGGTAGTGTGGGCAGATGCCAAGTCCTGCTGGAAAATGAAGTCAGCATCCCCATAAAACTTGTCTGTGGAAGGAAGCATGAAGTGCTCCAAAATCTGCTGGTAGACAGCTGTATTGACCCTGGACTTAATGAAGTGTTAAGCCTGAATTCCCCAACAAGTGTTAAGGAAAACAAACTAAACAGAATGTGTAGCGTAGTCAGATAGGCAGACAGGCAAATGTGTGAGATAAGTTTGTATTTTAGTTAACACACCGTAAAAAAAACAGATACGCTTGTGCTATCAAAAATATAGTTTATTCCATTAGGAATTATAGCATAGTCAAAATAAACGGTCCATTAGTCATGTGTCATTTCAGTCAGTCCAGTCGGGGATACACAATTTGCAAAATCCGTGTTGTATAGCCAATGTCAGTTCACTTACAATAAATCAGTCCGTATTATCTCTTCTCTCCGTTGAGAAATCAACGCTCCTTTCTCTCCTCCGTTCCAGTAAGGAAAAACACAGTCATCAATCTATCCAGTAATTAGGGATCATTAAGCCAGAGAGAGAGAGCTGCAATTGACTTGCTTCTTTTATGGTGCTTTTACAACCACACCCTTAATTACATTCTTGTAGTTAAAGTTACACACACTTTAACCAACAAACCATGATAACTTATTTATTATTTTTTACCCAAACCAGTTAGGGTAAACAATGCTATCCCTAACACCGTGGACCACCACCAGCAGGTGGCATGGCTCCCCAAATCAACACAGACTGTGGAAACGTCACACTGGACTTCAAGCATCTTTCAGTATGTGCCTCTCCATTCTTCCTCCAGACTCTGGGTCCTTGGTTTCCAAATGAGATGCAAAAGTTGGTCTCATCAGAAAAGAGGACTTTGGACCACTGAGCAACAGACCAGGCCTGTTTTTCTTTAGCCCAGGTAAGACACTTCAGACGTTTGTTGTTCAGGATCGGCTTGACAAGAGGAATACCACATTTGAAGCCCATGTCCAGGATCCGTCTGTGTGTGGTGGCTCTTGATGCACCGACTCCAGCCTCAGTCCACTCCTTGTGAAAGTCCCCAACACTTTTGAATGGCCTTTTCCTGGCAATCCTCTGCAGGCTGCGGTCATCCCTGCTGCTTGTGCACCTTTTTCTTCCACACTTTTCCCTTCCACATAACTTTCTATTAATGTGCTTTGACACAGCACTTTGGAGACATCCAACTTCTTTTGCAATTACCTTTTGAGGCTTTCCCTCCTTATGGAGGGTGTCAATGATGTTTTTCTGCACAACTCTCAGGTCAGCAGTCTTTTCCATGATTGTGCTTCCTACTGAACCAGACTGAGAGACCATTTAAAGGCTCGGGAACCCTTTGCAGGTGTTATGGCTTAATTAGCTGATTAGAGTGGGACACTTTGAGCCTAGAATATTGAACCTTTTCACAATATTCTTATTTTCTGAGATTGTGGATTTGGGGTTTTCATGAGCTGTAAGCCATAATCATCTCAATAATGACACATCACGGCTTGAACTATCTTGCTTTGCATGTAATGAGTCTATCTCATATATTAGGTTCACCTTTTAAGTTCCATTACTGAAATAAATGAACTTTTGCACGATATTCTAATTTTTTATAAAAAAATATAAATTTTATACTGTATAAAGCAATGAGCTCATAGCATTAACTGGCAGGGAATCCATGCCTTTCTTGGTAATGTAGAGTGGTTAACATGCAGGGATTTGGGGCTCACCGAAGAACTACTGAACAGTAGCTGGATCTTTTTATCAAAAGTGGCATGTTAATTCATGAGCTTAATGAATACCATGGATCACATAAAGAGACTAGCTTATTTTTGCTTACTAATGAGACATAGCAGTTCCATGACTAGCTAGGTTGTTATTCCCATACTAGGCAAAATAAAAAGAAGTAGCCTGCACAATCAAGTCATTTGACCTTATATCCACAACCAAAATAGGCATAGAAGTAGAGAACCTGTGACCAATCAGAAAGGCATGGTCCCGCCGGAGACCTACCAGGGTAATATGACTTCAACATATTGCCAAATTCCAAGTGCTCCTTTTCAGTGTGCTTTAAATGTCCACATAGGTGGTCTTCTATTAAAATACGAGTAAAAATATTATTTTTATGCCTGAACACCTTAGTCCAAATTCAGAGTGAAAATGAGATGGAGGAAATGTAATGAGGATATGTCCTCTACAAATAATTTGTGGGGTTTCTTTGTGCTACGGCAAGCAAGAGATGCAGATATGTCTAACATCACCAAACATCTATTGATCATTCATTAAATAAAGAAAAATTCTGTACAATTCCTGGTTATATCAACAGTAGCTGGGAAGAATGCTCAAGACTAAAGTTCACTGAAACAAAATTTTTGTTGTTGTTATCTCAACTTCTTTTATACCCAAAGGGCTCTCAAGGATTAGTATTATATTTTGTAAACTTCAAACTGCTGCTATTAACAAAAAGTTCTTCATGGTTGTAAACATACTATCTAAAAGAGTATTCTTCCTATATGTGCCTTCCTATAGCCTAAAACAGAAACCTTGTTCTCACCCCTTCCCATGCTGAGGGAAAATGGGGAATTGTGTAGGAGCAGACATTTTTAGGGCAACCTCTCCGCTTGTGAACAGCCTCCACAGTATACTAAATATGTGTGTACTCTCTTTGGGTTCCAGAATTAAGATAATTTGGACCTGGTTAGTATTTGGAAGGCAGACTACGTAGAGAGTACTAGGCTGGATTGATAAATATGGGGGGGAAATGTGAAAGAAAGCATACAGTTGCCAAGAAATTTGTACTGGTAGTTAATTAAGAGTCAAATTTGATTCAAAAAGCTTTTGAAGTCAACCCACTTCTATTTTATACAGACATCCAGAGTCACCTTATAGGTGACAGAGACACATATATACAATTACTCTTAAGAGGGCTATCAATCAACTGAAGGTAATTTGGGCATATTCTCAGGTTAGTGGATCAATTTATAATAGCTTGTTTGTGAGTGAAAGATTCAGTTTAAAATTGCCACAGCTGAGGCATTTGTGTGATATAAGAGAGTCTGGTTTTCTTTAATGGGGATATGACATTATTTGAGATCAGGAAAAAGAATAGTCAAAACAGTTCAAGAACCACTCAGTTATTAAAAACAAACCACCTTCATATACTATGGCTTAAAATTTGATCATCACCATCCTCAATTAAGCAAATTACAGCTTGTTTGGGTTTGGGTGTCATAACATTATGAGCCCATTTGGTATAGTAGTTAAGGTGCAGGCCTACTGTGAGTTGTAGTCCCACTTCAGACATGAAAGTTGACTGGGTGACTTTGGCCCAGTCACTCTCTCTCGGCCCAACTCACCTCCATGGTTGTTGTTATGGGGAAAATGGAGGGAGGAGAGAGTATTATGTATGTCCCCTTGGTTATTTATAAAAATAATAAAGCAGGATAAAAATCAAGCTAATTAATTAATCTAAAAAAGTGAAAGTTCCTGAACTCATTTGTGTTGTTTTTGTGAAGGCAATCCCTAAACTGCCCCTCCTGAGCCTTTTATTGCATTTGTATCTCTAACCTACCTTATTAAAATCATGTAAGATGGCAGATGATATTCCATCCCAGTATAAAATTAAGACATTGTTTCAAGCAGTAAAATGTTTGAGCCTTGCTAGTGTTATGCAATATCAAGCATTAAAAAGCATTGAAATGGCAAATCACTGGTAATCTTGGATTTTCCAGTGGGGAATTTTCATCTTTAATTTTCCACCATGATACTATGCATATCTGCATTTCATGAGGGGATTTCCAACCACATGCATTAGTTGTGAACAGTTTGAATTTCTGACTTTCTGTTGCAATACTAGTTCCTATTTCTATTTTTGAACTATCTCAAGTGAGAAAAAATGTTCACGTTTCATCTATCCCTTCTGTTTAACAAAACAAAAAGATACTATATTAAGATAAATCAAGAAACAAACCAATTTTTATTGGTGCTATTGTACAGGTCCTCTTCCATAAAAAAACAATCTGAACATTAATCATACTGCTCAGATGCACTATTTTTTACTTTTATATGTGTTTCCTCAAATATAAAGCATGCAATGCATTATGTTTGTTCGATGCAGAGTTGTTTATGGAGTTCCAGGTTCCAGGACTAAAGTTGACCCTGGTTAGGCAGTCGGGCAAGTTTATTTTATTTATTTGTTTGTTTGTTTATTTGTTTATTTATTTATTTATTTGATTTGTCAATTGCTTACAAGATAATAGGTATAAGTATATACATAGTTATGAATACATGAAATGGGTACATATAAGAAAAATAAAAGAAACAATAGGACAGGGACGGTAGGCACGTTGGTGCGCTTATGCACTACAGACCTCTTAGGAGAGGGGTGAGGTCAATAGTAGACAGTCTAAAGTTAAAGTTTTTGGGGTTTGGGGAAGAAACCACAGAGTCAAGTAGAGTATTCCAGACATTGACCACTCTGTTGCTGAAGTCGTATTTCCTGCAATCAAGTTTGGTGCGGTTAACCTTGAGTTTGTATCTATTGTGTGCTCTTGTGTTGTTATGGTTGAAGCTGAAGTATTCATTGACAGGCAAGTCATTGCAATGTATTATTTTATATACCATACTTAGATCAGACCGAAGACGGCGTAATTCAAGGTTTTCTAGGTCTAGAATTTCAAGTCTGATGGCATAAGGTATTCTACAATGAGTAGAGGAGTGGAGAACTCTTCTTGTGAAATATTTCTGGACTTTCTCAACTGTGCTAATATCAGATACGTAATGTGGGTTCCAGACTGATGAGCTGTATTCGAGTATTGGTCTAGCAAATGTTTTGTATGCTCTAGTTAGTAGTGTAATATTACCAGAGAAAAAGCTACGTAGGATTAGGTTAACAACTCTTAATGCCTTTTTGGCTATGTAGTTACAGCTCTAGCACTTAGATCAGTCATGAACCTCAACAAATACTTTATTAAGCATTTCTTCAATTTAATCTATCCTTTACACTAAAGCCACAGGGTAAACTCAACTCTTTTCTTTGTGTGTATGCATTATTTTGAATGTTAGTCCTGGAGACTGCCCAAGCAAGTCCCTAGTTTTCTTGGCAAGATTTTGTAAGTTCTTTGCTTTGTGAGAAAAAGCAACTGGCCCAAGGTCACGCAGCTCTCACTTTGTGCCCCAGCAGGAACTAGAACTAGAACGCACACACACACACAGTACAAGCGTATGTTGAGTTGCATAACCTATTGTCCCCTCCTGCAAACCCATTTTTTTTTCTTGCTTAATTTGTCACAGAGTCAACGCATCTACATTTTGTTTCAGGTAACCAATCCAGCTGCAGTTAACCACTGATTAAACCCCTAGGGGAGATACTTGATCTTAGGAGGAGGATCAGCATCTTCAAAATAATCTCACCAGTACAATCAATGATATCAATTCATTTTAACAGCCAGCAAGGACAGGCTGGGTTATCCCAGGAAATGGTGATACAGCAATGGCTGAGCTATGCAAAAAATTCCTAGTGAAGAAAGGCTCTAAGCTGGTGACCATAATTTATTGGAAAAAATAAAGGACAAAGTGCGGGTGGGGTGGGGGCAAAGTGAAAGAAAAAAGTGGAAGACAAAGCAAAAGACAAAGCAAAACCAAGTAAAACTTTACAAAATGCCGGTTTTAGTAAAAATGACTAAAAGCAAACAGTATATGTTCAGTATATTTATTTTAAAAACACAATTCAATTTCTCAGAAAAATGTAATAAATGATCCAAAGCTAGAAGAATATCGTATATGCTTTGAGGCTGCAACTGGACAGTGTTGGAATAATATTGTGATTATGTTGCAGTTAAAAATGAGTTAAACATTTCTGGTGAGATGAAGACTCTGTCCTAGGATGTGGCAGAAAAGAGATACAGTATTTCCAAAGCATGCTCTGAGGTTAGATGAAAAGCAGAAAAGGACTATACTTAAAAAAAAAAAAGATTAAATATGCAGGTGCTTGCTCCATCTTGCATGATATTGAAAACGGGAGCGAAAACTTATTATTAAAGTTGCCTCTTTATGGAATGAGGCAAATTTCTCTTCATGTTTTGCTTTTCAAATCAAGGACCTTCCTGATTTGAAAAGAAAACCAGTAATCTCACGGAGAGACATTGCTAAATTAGTGGAATAAAAAACAGAAATACTTTAACTATGAGAAAGACCCAGGTGACTCTAGGTTTGCCAGCATTACAACTTCCTTTGCACTTACACTTCCCTCAAGCAATGTTGTGATTTGGTTTCTACAAAGTTAGATATCAACAACAATCGCAACCTGCAATCCTTTCTTATCCTCTTCGCCCCAATCTGCAAGACACACAGCCTCCCGCCTCTCCACCTCCACCCTCTTTCCCCGTAATTTATCGCTTTATTTGCTTTTAAATACCCGGAAAGACAGAATCGGTGCTATCAGATGCCCCACCCCCACCCCACCCCCGGGGGGAAAAAACACCTCAGGTTTTGCAGCGGCTGCTACCAAGCCGTTCCTTCGCCCTCGCTTTGGAAAGGAACCTAAAGGTAGCACCTATAGAAGCTGCTGCTCCAGCGACTAAGGTGGAGCTTTGATGCGGGGTGGCTGGCTCGGCAGACGGACAGAGCGCACTTGGGGGCGGAGGCGCTTTGTTTTTCTCCTTCCCTAACTACGGAAAGAGGGATTTCCCGGGTTTGTTAGCGCGGCGGCACTGCTGCCTCAGTTTTGCTCCCTCAGAGGCCAAGGTTCACCTGGAGCTCGAGAAAAGGAAACAAGGTAGTGTGGTAGAAAGAGTGCGGTGAGTTCCGGGGAACGGGGGAAACAACGCGCAGCAAAGCGAAGGCAGACAGCGAGAGCGTCCCCGAGTGACGAGGCGTTGCCAAGAAGTGGGCGCCCCAGCCTATTCCTGAGGAATTCACCGCGGGGATTCGACGGGGCCGCGTGCAAGTGGCGTAGTAGAGGCAAGCCAGGACGGCGATCGGCGATGGTAGCCGAGAATGATCCCGACGAGAAGCTGGTGGTGCCTAATTTGCGGCTGCGTCTTCTGGTCAAGTAAGGAGCGAGCCTAGATTGGAAAACCCGCGTGTTTTTATTTTTTAGCAGCCCTTGGGAGTAGGCAGCCCTTTGGAAAAGTTGGGCGGTCTTTCTCTGGCCGAAAGTGGTGGCTGCGTTTGCCTCTCCTCACGTATTAAATGGTGCGCTCGGTTGTTACACTTGGTCGCGAATGAAAGGGAAGGAGGTAGGTCCTTCGGTGGCTAGACAGAACTCGCTAGTTGAAGGTACTGCTGGTTAAACATGCTGTGTCACCCTAATACAGGGGTCCCCAAACTTGGCAACTTTTAAGATTTGTGGACTTCAACTCCCAGAATTCTCCAGCCAGCTATGGTCAGCTATGCTGGCTGGAGAATTCTGGGAGTTGAAGTCCACAAGTCTTAAAAGTTGCCAAGTTTGGAGACCTGCCTGAATAGATGGGTAACACAGCAATTCAGACAAGGGAGAAAAGGATCCTGTGTGGGGCATGTAAGATGCTCTACTATCAGTGGAAGTGGGAAACTGGCTTTGTGGGTTTTTTGAGCGTCTTGGTTCCAAATTTCTATGGAGATTCTCAGTCTCCAGCTCACAGTTGTCCCAAAGGTGCTTTTTCAAAAGGCAACTGAACTTCATTTTTCGTTCTCATTCAAGAAGCTTCTTCAGTTCTGATTGAAAGGTGGAGACCAGAAGGATTTATTAGGACTCTTTCTGAGTCATTGAGGCCACTTGGAGGTTTATCTGAGGGCACATATAAACCTCCAAGTGACCTCAATGACTCTCAGAAAGAGTGCTAACAACCAGATGACTGCAAGGAATATAAATCCTTCCATTCTCCACCATTGAGTTAGAACTGAAGAAGCTTCTTGGATGAGAAGCTAAGTGTCTTCAAGGAAAAACAAAGTCCAATTGCCTTTTGGGAAAAAATATATTTGGATCTTGGTTTCCAGTCTTCTTTGTATTTTAGTCGAAGGTTTTTTCAAGGCAGTGGTGGATGTTGCCAGGAGAGAAGAGCCAAGTATTCCAGTTCACAACAGATTTCTCACCTCAGAGAAGAAACAAATTTCTCTGACTGAGTGGGCAAAGGAAATTCCCAAAAGGATTTGCTTTGACCAGACTCTAAGGCAGGGGTGTCCAACCTTGGCAACTTTAAGACTTGTGGACTTCAACT